AATCAACCAATATGTATTTTAATCCAAAGAAATATGCACAAATATTCAAATGTAATTTGTTTTGCAAACAAACAGCTTGGCTGTCGGTGGGGACATTCTGAACAAACATATAACAGCAAAAGAAGCTGATAGACAAAGAAGCCCTGTGAGTAATTAGACAATCTTTCTCAGTCTGATGAAGAAGCAAAACAGAATTTTTATGAAGCACAGCATTGTTCATTGTTGGAATCTAGTGTCTGGGTGTACATATTTTGTTTCTGTTCAGTAATTTTTGTTGAAATTACTGCCCCCCCCCCCCCCCCCACACACACACACACACACCGAAAAGGTCTTTTAAGAAATCCAAGTTCAGTTTTAAGAATATTATTTCAACTAATTGTAAAACACGATGAGAAAAAAGTTACATTTCATTCATAGTATAAAAGGAAGTTTTCAAAGAACAACACCCCCCCCCCCCCCCCACACCAACAACACAATAAACAAAACAAGTCAATGCAAACCAAAGACAGAGCTAAAATCATAACACAGCACTGTTTGAATAAAAGTTACATTTATCTAAAACAATCTGTAGATATAATGTCAGTAAAATTGTCAACAAGCTTGAGTTTAAAACTGTTCAATGATCACTAACAGTCAAAACAACACTTAAATATGAGAAATATTTGTGAAATTTTCATCTTTTGCAACGTATACAGACTTTAGTCATTTTATCACCTGCACATTGAGGCTATTGCACATTGTTGCAGTTCATCATTTGTTGAAGCGACGTCTTCTAGCTGACGGCAGGAGAATAAACAGCTTTTACGAGGAGTTTGAGGAGTCGTGACAATAGAATATGTCCGTATGAGGGAGGATCTCAGAGGAAATGTAAAATTTTGAAGCTTATCTTCAAGTAAGCAAAAAAAAAAAAAAAACACCTAGATGTGTACGGAGAACTAAAGAGCAGCAGATGGAAGAGCTGTGTTAGGTTCACAGCTTCTTGAATGCCACTGTTTGTGAACTCACCGTGTAGATGGTTAGATCTGGGGGTGTCCAGCTCCCTATGGTGTCTTGGAACCTGGATTATGCAGAACTGTGGTCTGAGGTGATTATTTTTTTTCTCAGAGAGTGAACGGAGGAGTCACAGAGGGGATCTTCAGGGTGCTGAGCTGGATGGTGGCACTAATAGAGAGGCAGTCAAGATGAGGGAGCGGTATATTTTATTTATTCTATTCATTTCATTGCAGTGGAACCCCAAAGACAACTTTTATGACTTACTTTTCCACAGACCTGGGATTCGTTTTACACAGCTATGGAGGGCTGTTGTTTTATTTTCACACTGTGAAGCAGCTGCCACACAGAAGTTTAGTTGAAGTGGCATGTTCTTTTCTGCAGTAAATATTGTGAAGAAATCCCCTCTTTTGCTCTTTGCACCCACTCACTTTTTTTTTTTTTCATTCTGTTTACTCGGTCCACATCCACTGACCGCACTGCGCTGCTGTCTGGAATGTGAAGTTTCATTTGGTTTGTTGTGCGTTAGAATAGCAGTGGGCATCCAGGATGAAGTGTTTGAGTGACTGAGGGGGTGGCAGTTGTGAAACCAAATGGATATGAATGTGAGAATCCTCAATGTTCTTGCCTAAACAAAAAAGAGAAAAACAGGAACTCCAGGCCTTTCTGCTGTGCTCAGTGCTCGTTGCTTCCTTTGCAACATTTCTCTGCTCATATCATCACCGAGGGAGACCTCTTTATTTTCAGCATCTGTGCTGTGATGATGAGAAACACCAGTTAACTAGGCCACTGCATAATAAGCAAAAAATAGCAGCAAAGGAAAAAGAATTGAAAAGAAAAGTGGGAGAAGAATACGCTAATGAGGGGAAATGCTTACTAAACACATAGCTGCTGACAAAACTAAGTCAGCAAGCAAAGATTTCCCCTATATTCCTGTACTGCAGATTCATTCTTTTATTATTGCTAACCTGAACAGAGGTTCGTCATCTAATTTTACCTGTGAAGCCCCTGAGCTGTGCTGTCATGTGACTGGCAATAAGCCTTGCTGACTTTTTCTTTGGCGTCTGGATCAACTCTGGAAACTCTGCTGCTGCAACATTTTTTTGTGATGCTCAGCGTTTCTGCACTTGATTTACTTCGTCAAAGACTTCATTATGTTCTACTGGAAGATGCCAGATGTGAGAATCATCATCACTTTCATGGTGTTTCACTTTTCTTGTTTTTTCACAATGTAAAATGATACCTTGATTTAACTTGGCAAACGTTGTAGTTAAGAGCATCCTGATGAGCAATTACCCGTAACTGTAAATTTACCTTTTAAAACAGCCAACTAAGATGCATCTTGTTATTTAGGAAAGGTAACTGCTTTAAAAGGGGCAAGTAATAGATTAACATCAAAATAGTAAAACAAACAAAAGCTAAAGTTATTGAAACTTGGTGAAAATCTGCCTGATGGACTACACTGTACTTTGTATATATATTAATTAGTTTATTTATACATTAATTAATTAGCTTATTTTTTATTAAATGATTAAAAGTATAATTAATTTTGACATGATAAAATAAAAAAAATAACCCATAAAGGAGTAGCTAAAGCCATCCCATGTCCAAATCTAAAAATCAGACCAAAATAAATAAATAAATAAATAAATAAAAATAGAATGCATAAATATTTCCCTGACTTTAAAGATTTCACAACCATCACATATAAATCTCTTTACAATGTAACCAAGAATTAACTTATACCTATTTAAAAAAAAACACAAATTAATACTTTTTTAATTTATTACTCTTCAGTAAAACTGTTCTATAATTTGACTTCCAGAAGAGGGAACTTGTTATTAAACTATTTGTAAAATAAAACAACAACAACAAAAAAAAAAGTAAAATTTGTTGAATTTATATTTAGTAAATTAAGAGCATCTCTACCCAAAAACCATTATATATAATGGTTTTTATAGTTCTAGAATTGCGCCGCTCGGGGTGGCTGCATGTTGGAGTGGCTCTGTTGCGTTCATTCTGAGCTTTTGCTTTCGGAAGCTTTGGTTCCTCTTTTTTTGGATGTAGGTCTCTTTTTTGGATGGTTGTTTCCTGTGGTATCTGTTGCTGTGCAGCTGGAAGGATTTTTACTGAAACTTTTTTAGTTTTGGACATTTATTATGATGCGTAACCATGACAACAAAGTGGTTTTCTACAACCAGGAACAGCTGATTACCATTGCAAAAGTTCAAATAATATTTCAACTACAGCTTCAAATCTCAAATGAGTTGAAAAGGAGAAATTGTGGATGCATTCCCATCTCCCTGCCAGCTGTGCTCAAGTGCCTGACTACTGAGATCCTGGAAGTGGCAGGAAACATGGCTTGTGACAGCTGAAGGACTGGGATCATCCCCCGGCAGGCTGTCTGCAGGGACGAGGAGCTAGGCAGGCTGCTGGAAGGAGTGGTCATCGCTCTGGGAGGAGTTCAGCCCCGCATTTGGGTGGTCCTGCAGCCCAGGGGAACCAAGAGTCCAGCCGAGTTTGGGTGGATGGATCAGACAGCATATGTGCAGCCACTTTCTTCTGATCTGCTGTGGGACGGACCTTCCTGCCTAAAGCCATCAATATCTATAACTTCTCTTAATGAAATTAGGATAATGAATTACAACAACATTTAATATCCCTTTGGGATTAATAAAATATTTTTGAATTGAGTTGAATTGAATATATATTGCAGCCAATCAGTCATTTTATCTTAAACCCAGATAGTGAGTCTAACCAGAAAAAAAAAAAAACTTTATTTGGGAAAGCCTAGAATTGTCTCTAGAACAGATTAGAAACATCCAGTGGTCTGAAGAGTTCAGACTGATCCTGTAGAGAGATGAGCACAGAAGGAGGTGGAGAAAATTATGTATGCTGTGATACAGTATTTTGGATACGTAGCCATTCTGCAGAAACTGATTAAAGAGTTCACGTATAAGAACTCACAACCCATGAAAGCAAATCACACACATAAACATACATACAAACTGAAATCATCTAAGAAGCAGTTCACTACAAATGATTCAGGATGCATGCAAAGATACAAATTTAAATAGATATACATTAAATTCTGCCTTAAAATGTAATTTGTACTATTCACATAAACTGCAACCACAAAGACTATTTTAAACAAATTAGATGAAGAGTTTCTTCCCTGATGGCGCTGGCGTACATCAGGGGAGGGAGGGCGGTATTTGTTGGTCTTCATCTGTGAAAAAGTTTTCTCTGCTGTAATGGGATGTTAATTGCATGCATTGAGTCCTCCATGAAATGTAGACTTTAACTTCATTGAAACTTTCCAAATCCGCCCAAGAAAGCTAAGCAGCTTTCTGAATTTTCCATCACTGAAGCAGGATCTTGGCAAAAACAAATAAACAAATAAAACATTTATTTAAATCTGGACAAATACGTTTAGCTTTTTTTCACTTAAACCATATTTAACTAGGTTTTTGTTATTGACTGATGAATCATTCACATAAAAATATTAATAAATAAAAACAAGTCAATGTGAAAGTGCCATTTTTTTTTTCATCCAGAGTATCTTTATGGAGACGTACAGAGAGTTTCCGCTCAGCGAGAAACAGTCAATCAAGCAGAGACAGTTTGTCCTCCTTACCGGGGACACATGCACAAAAGAAAATCTCACTTCATATAGGAAGGCTATAGAATCAAATAATAAAGTTTGTCAAAGAAGATTTGAAGCAAAATACGAAAGAGAAAACAGTTAACTGAGAGTCCTTGGATCAAGCTTGGAGCCACAAATCAATTAGTGTTTTTGTACAGTCTTTTAAACATCATAAGAATGAGGTTATTTTCATTAAAAACGGCTGAATAAATAAAAATAAACCAGAAAAAAGTGACTCTTTAAATCAAAGCAAAGGCAACGGTTTTATGATTATATGTCAAGTTGTGTTCCCCAAAGCAAATAGTGTGAGTTTAATCCATATATCTGATCCTCTGCTGCATTGTTTCTCCTTTTCTCTTTTCAGCGTTGAGCATGACTTTCGTCTTCAAGAAGGTCAGGTGGTGCGAACATGGAAGGTGGGCGACCCTCCCGAGGGCTCGCCACAGAGTCCCACTCCCCAGGCCTCAACGCCGCACCAACAAGACTCTCCACAACTAGTGCGGCCCCCTGCCACCGCCAAGAAGAACAGAAAGAAATGCTTCTGGTTCCTCTGAGCACCGGGGGGAAGGAAAAAGAGACATTTTGACACTGCAATGCACCTCACATGCTCATTTAGAAAGATGCTTGACTTTCAGGAGTTTGTTTGAATAAAAAGGATTGCAATGCAAATATTAAACTGTGGGAGGGGAAAGAGTGGCAAAGGTTACGTTTTATTTTCTACCTGCTTCTGTTGGCGTCGATGAGAACGATTTAACAAGGCTGCACATGTTGTTACTGTTGTTTTTAAAAGCCTCTTCAGCACTTACAGATTTGATACAGGTGCAGGGAAAGAAAAGTGCTGAAGTCGAGCAAAAGCTAAAAGTTTAGTCGAAGTTATAACTTGTGGTTATGAAGCAATTAGGAGATAAAAAGACAATATATATATACTGTCCAGGGACAGGAATAAGAGGGAAGGCAGCAGATAGGATGGAGCATATTTTTAAAGGTTAAACTGATATAATTTATGGACTAAAAGAAACATTTTGATCCCCATTAATGGACAAATGAGGGTCAGAACACCAGCTTTTATATCTTAAGACAGTTCAAATAAAAATAAATATAATGACCCAATGAAAATGTTTTATTATACTGTAATTGATAAAACCACTATGTGTGTCTACATGTACATACTGCACACACAACCACACACACCAACAAATACACAAAGAGCACTGAGTTTAAAGAGAAAATGATTAATTGAGTTCTGCACATTTCAGAGCTGTTCTGCTTGGATGCTTTATTTCAGATATGGATTATTGCTCTATAAAAAACGTATTTTACCACAGCTGCCTGGTGTGTGTTATTTAGGTTCAACGTTCTTTTTTATTTTCAGATGTGATCACATTTTGTTTAATAGCTTTATTTGTAAAAATCAAACGAAAACACAAGTGAAGCTAAATGATCTAGAGAGCCCAACATGACACAGCTTTTATATCACAGCAAATGATGGAAATGCTGCGAAGTACTGACGCTAAAACCACTTTAGTGTTAGTAAACTCCCATATAAAGGATTCAGGGTTTCTAGGATTTTTTATTGTCATAGCTCAACATTTGCGTGCTTGTGGTATGAAATTCAGACTCAGGTCCCAGATCAAGAAGCTTAACAATTAACAAATAAATGAATACAAAAGATTACAAATATATATATATATGTATAATAAATAAAGTAAGATGAAGCTAAATTACGGGAAGAAACTGTTTCTGAGCCTGGTGGTCTTGCTCTGAATGCTCCTCAGCTGCCTGCTTGAGGGGAGGGGCTTGAACAGACTGTGTGCAGGATGAGTGGAGTCATTCATGATGCGGAGTGCCCTCCCCCTGCATCATGAAGTGTAGAGGTCCGAGGTGGTGGGAAGGCTAAAGAACATCAACATTTCTCATAAAAGTCTGTACTTTTTTCCCCGAGGGTTATGTGGTCTCATTAGCTAGATTCATTCCTTTTGATCGTTATATACTTCTAAAAATTAAAATGAGTTGCCTCAAAGGGACATAAATTAGTTTGACAAGGTTATTCTACAGCTCAGACCTTTGGTTCAAACAAAGGTTAGTTCTGGCTTCAAAAGAAACAAGTATTGATGAGCAAATGCCAAACTTTAAAACCTTCACCAAGTTACTAATCCCGTAGCTGACATCGTAAAGGTTTTATTAAATGAAGAAAAAAGTTTAACAATAAACTTCCAGATAAACAGTAAACGTGTTTAGTTATGGCAAACCTTATCAAATGTTTTTTTTTATCAATTAGCAGTACACCAAAACAAATAAAAATACAAAGTACGAAAGCTCTTGATTTTACAGAAAGGATGATGCAGAAATTCTGTGTTTGCTTCATCTCCCCTTCATTCAACATACTTCCCTGTTCATGTACAAATAAGTCATCAAACTGGTTTAAAATACACCAGATTTAGATTTTTTTAAACTAAAGTGACTCTCAGGAACATATTAATAATTTTATATTATATTTTTTAATTATATTATAAAACAATAACTTCATCAAAATTCAAACTTGTTTTTCTTGTTGTGATTTTGGCAAAGAAATTTACACAGTTTTTATGTTATTTTGACGTCCTATTATAATGAAAAGACAACAAAAGCCCCAAGATGAGCGGGAATCAAGATTTTAATAATTACTTTGTCCAATGGGAAAAAAAATCCATACATAAAATGAAAAAAATTGCAATAACACTTTTGTTTATTGCAAAAAATAATGTTAAAAAATATATACATATGTATAATTTTGTATTTTTTGCTACACATACTATAGTTTTAACATCAAGTTTAATATAATTAGATAATTCAGCCTTTTTAAATTTCACATATTGCATTTTAGCTATTTGATATTCAATCTCAAAAATAAAGAACATTAAGTGATGTGTAATGAAACTCTAGTCTATTTTTGCACGTTATGAGATTATCGGGAAAACCCGACAACATTAAGTTTCAGTATACTGTTTGTGATTAAAACAATAAAACTTATTTTGAATCATACCAAAAAAGGCTTTACAAGCAGAAATTTCATGGTGAAAATTAAGTGAGTAAATTCCATGAAAACTCTGCAGGGAGGAGTTTTGGGTGTAAACCCTGCAACTAAAGCAGATAACTGATCCCCAACAGGTGTGACAAATGGAAAACTAGGAATGGGTGTGGAGGAGATTAGAGAGCAAGACTAAAGCAATAAGACATTTTTTTCTGTCTTAGGAAAACAAAATATGCTGTGAAAATCTGGACAGTTTCTATTTTTGTTGAGACATTTCGTCCTTCATCCAAAGGACTTCTTCAATCCGAGGAGCTAGCCACCAAACAGAAGTGATTCACAGAAACAACATACTCCATAGTGGAAAAAAACAGCTTGCTGGTGCTAAGATGACCTCCGGGGTCCGTCCTCTTCCCCGTCAGCTCCTCTGAGACTGTCATGCCAAAGTGGTTCAAACATCAAAATTCATGCTCAATAATCCAGGTATAAAATCCAACAATGTTCAGTCAGGTCATCTGGATGGTTTCTTTTTTTGCTGAGATATTTTGTCCTTCATCCAAAGGACTTCTTCACATCTCCTCAGCTGACATTGCTCTCAGCGAGCAGCGCAAAAAGCACACCCAAGATGTTCTGACCAATCGCATAATGGTCAACACAGACCCTGGTGAGAACTAGTTCTAACTGAGGGTAACCACAAGACAGGGTCTCAAAGGGGGTGCAAGTAGAAAAAAAATGTAATTTTCGTCACACAATCGCATCAAGACAAGACACAAGTTTGGTGCTTTACATGGACTTCAAACCAGCCTTAAGATAAAACTCCTGTTTGTGTGTTTTTTTTTGTTTTTATTTCAATTTCTCAGAGCATTGCACAGTCTGACCTCAGGGTGAATTTACACAGACGTCCACTCCTAGAATGATTGATACTTTTCATAAGGGTGCACTTAGTTTTTTTACACATAGTTTGTACACACGTGCCTTTTTATACTTTCAAAGTTGGCTCAGAATAATTTAGAACCTGGTAAAATCCATCCATCCATCCATCCATCCATCCATTTTCTTTACCCGTTTGTTCCATTTTGGGTCACGGGGGTCGCTGGTGCCCATGTCCAGCAATCACTGTGCGAGGGGCGGGGTACACCCTGGACAGGTCGCAAGTTCATCACAGGGCCACATAGAGACAAACGAGACAAACAACCATTCACTCTCCCACTCACACCTAGGGACAATTTAGAGTTACCAATTAGCCTAACATGCATGTTTTTGGTCTGTGGGAGGAAACCGGAGTACCCGGAGAAAACCCACGCATGCACGGAGAGAACATGCAAACTCCACCCAGAAGGCCCCTGGACCGGGGTTTGAACCAAGGACCTGCTCGCTGAGAGGCAGCAGCTCTACCAGTTGTGCCACCGTGCTGCTCCTGGTAAAATCATATAACATTTAAGACATGCC